GTCATTTGTGTATAACAACTTCGCTGTGCCCATACTCTTGAACATGTTTCATATGATCAAACATTTGGTTTCAGTGAGAGCGAATGATGGACTTTAATAACAATGCATAACGGGGCATCAATTTTCATCAAGCAGGAAGTGTCATCTAGGTAGCAGTAGTCAGATTTTGATTATGGATGATCTACATACCCCTGACTCTTCAACCAAGTTTTGATGTCGGACGCCCGTGTTGCATAATTTGTGCCATTTAACTTGTCCAAACTTGTCAATGGACAAGTGTACATTCACATAATTGGTGTATATTGAGGGATCAGATGATGAGCCACCAACAAAGGTGTTTGTAGACGAGAAAGACGCCATGGAGACGGAGAATCCCTAAAAATCCAAAGTGCTTCGATTGACGCTGTTGAATATAGTGAAAAACTATATTTGAATTAATCTCCCTATACACTCATAGGGTTCTCTATTTATAATAGAAGAAATATGGGCTAAGCCCAAAATACAAATGAGAAATAATAACAAACTAACTAAAAGATAAGGAATTAATATATCTAACAACTCTCTCAGCTGGAGCATACAAATTGTTGAACTAAGCTTGGAATGATGAACTCAGTGTTGAACTATGATGTTTGTCTTCAGAATGTTAGGCAAACAGCATCCGCGTGGAAACTTCAACTTCAAAAGTTGGATGAAGGAGAGCAGTGGTGGATAATGAACCAAGATGCAAGGACTGATTCCAATCAATTATGGATGAGTGGACGGTATCAACAGTAGTAGCTGAAAGCTAAGAGCTAGCAAAACTGCAGGGACTACACTAATCGCTCATCAATGATGGAATGGGTGACGGGATCAACAGTAGTAAATCTGAAATCTACAAAACTGCAGGGACACACCCATTTTATGTGACCCTTGCAGTTCTTGAACGTACTCCCCCTTAGTGTGAAGGGCGGAAATGTGAAAAAACCACAATATTAAGCTACAAGCTGAAACAAAGGCTCAAAGATCCAAAGACTGTTGGAGGTCAAATTCTTGCTGACAACTCTCAAGTGGTGAAACTTTACAGTGTATCACAAGAAGATCGGACTAAAACTTCTAGCCCAAGAAGAATGACGTAAGTTGCGTCTGTTTGAGACTGTAGCGACTGCACAGCGGCGTGATATCTATAAAACTGTAGGGACTAAATTGCCATCACTGACTGATGGGGCCTGTAGTGGGCTGGAAGCGACAAAACTACAGGGACGGCCATCACTAACCTGACTAGGTGATGGGCCTACGTGGTTGGAAGCATACAAGCGGCAAACAGAGTGGACAACGGCAAGCGGACAAGCGGCAAACGGCGCCCTGGACATCGCGGTCAACATCGCCTGGACCAGTGGAAACCCTAGGTTAGCCCAAGCCAACAAAACGGAGAAACAGGAACCAAAGCACACTCAAGAAGCTTCGGCGAGACGATCTGCAGTGACGCGGTGAAACTCCGACACCTGGAAGGCGGCGCGTGTAGAACACGCGGCCGAGACTGGCCGAGAAGAAGCGGCGCGTGGTGAGGAGTCTGGTCATCACTTCGACGGGGTTGGCCGTTGCTCGAGGAGACGCTTCAGATCCGCTGGTCACCGGTAGAAACTGTGACGGCGGCGGCCACGGCAGCGGCGCGACGGTGGCCGGAGTTAGCAACGACGGCAGCGGAAAGTGGCGGCGACAGTAGTGGCACACTAGGTCTGGACTGGTGCTGATTGTGGCAGAGATTTAAGAAGAAAAAATGGACAGCCCACTGAGATATTAGGGGCTGCCGGCGGCCGCCGACAGACAGCAGAGACCACCAAAAGAGGATCAGAGAACTTGCTCTGATACCATGTTGAATATAGTGAAAAACTATATTTGAATTAATCTCCCTTATGTAAAATACACACATAGGGTTCTCTATTTATAATAGAAGAAATATGGGCTAACCCCAAATTACAAATGAGAAATAATAACAAACTAACTAAAAGATAAAAGATATAATATATCTAACAGACGCAATGACCACAGATCCAGAAAGAGGGCAAGGAGGCGATCACAACGGTCCTGGTCAACGGTCGAAATCTCCAGCGACGCGAACTGAAGCGGTGGAGCCGTCGACTGTTGCGGCGGCGCGGGGTGGTGCGTTCGCCGCTATCTTTGCTCCAGGGTAGTCGCCCGGCCGAGATGATTCCGAAGGTGTGGTCGTCGGTCGATTCTGGAACTCCGGTGACGGCGGTGATGTGTGCCAGAGATCGTGGAGCAGGAACTAATCTTAAGCTCTAGATTCCATGTGAATAATGGGGAAGATTGGGAGAAATCTCCCTTGTGTATTTCGCATACACATAGGGTAGTTTATTTATAATGTAAGATATGGGCCAAGGCCCTTAATACAGAATGGACTTAGCCCAATTAACATAAACACACCTCTTAACATCTAACAACCATGAATACCTTTCTCAACTGTTTAAACATTTTATGGCTTCTCATGACATTCTTATACCCATCAACCAAATGTGCTTATACCCATCGACCAAATAGAGTGGCTGAGCGCAAGAATAAACGCCTTATTGAAACAACTCACTGCATGTTATCTTATAAAGCACATGTGCTTATACCCATCAACCAAATGGAGTGGCTGAAAGCTAGATTGGTTGCCAAAGGCTACACACATATTGTTGGTTTGGATTATGGTGATACTTTTTCTCCAGTGGCAAAAATGACCTCTATTCGCCTATTCATTTCCATGGTCGCTCTTCGACAATGGCCTCTTTACCAACTTGATATAAAAAATGCTTTCCTTAATGGTGATTTGCATGAAGAAATTTATATGGAGCAACCGCCCGACTTTGTTGCTCACGGGAAGTCATCTGGATTGGTATGTTATCTTCTCAAAAATCCTTATATGGCCTAAAACAGTCTCCTCGGGCCTGGTTTGGTAAATTCAGCTATGTTGTTCAACAGTTTGGTATGTCTCGCAATAAAGTGGATCATTCAGTGTTCTATCGCCACTCAAGTGCTGGATGTATCTACTTAATAGTGTTTGTCGATGACATTGTTCTCACATTAAGCGACTATCTTGGCATCTCTCAAATGAAACAACACCTTTGTCACCATTTTCAAACCAAAGATCTTGGCAAACTTCGGTACTTTTTGGGTATTGAAGTAACACAACCCAACACTAGTATTGTCATATCTCAGAGGAAGTATGCGTTAGACATCTTGGAGGAAACAGGGTTAACGAACTCTAAATCTGTTGAGACACCTATGGACCCTAACATCAAACTCCTACCAAATCAGGTGGAGCCTTTCTCAGATCCTGAACGGTACAGAAGATTAGTTGGTAAATTAAATTATCTTACTGTTACGCGTCCTGGCATTTCCTTCGCAGTTAGAATGGTGAGTCAATTCCGAAACTCCCCATGTGAAGACCATTGGGATGCAGTTGTTCGCATACTGAAGTATATTAAAGGATCACCTGGAAAAGGTTTGCTATATGGTCCTAACAACGATACAAAAATCGTTTGATATTAAGATGCTGATTGGGCTGGTTACCCTTATGATAAGAGATCTACTTCTGGATATTGTGTCACTATTGGTGGCAACATGATATCTTGGAAAAGTAAGAAGCAAAGTGTTGTGGCAAGGTCCAGCGCAGAAGCAGAATATAGAGCTATGGCATCAGCTACTTGCGAGATTGTGTGGCTTAAACAATTACTTAGTGAATTGAAATTTGGAGATGTCACTCACATGACACTTATATGTGATAATCAAGCTGCTCTCCATATTAGCTCTAACCCTGTCTTCCATGAGAGAACCAAGCACATTGAAGTTGATTGTCATTTTATTCGAGAAAAAATCATATCCGGAGATATCAAGACTGAGTTCTTTAACTCAAGTAACCAGTTGACAGACATATTCACTAAGTCGTTACGAGGACCTAGAATTCACTATCTTTGTAACAAGCTTGGAACATATGATTTATATGCTCCATCTTGAGGGGGAGTGTTAGATGTTAAGATGTGTGTTTATGTTAATTGGGCTCAGCCCATTCTGTATTAAGGGCCTTGGCACAAATCTTACATTATAAATAAACTAACCTATGTGTATGCAAAATACACAAGGGAGATTTCTCCCAATCTTCTCCATTATTTGCAGAAGCTATGGAGGTGCAGATCGTTCATGCTTCAAGTAATGGAGGTCCAGGGAGCTTCAACCAATGCATATACACTGTAGCTTTCCAACAATGGAGGTGTGCCTTTGGGCAATGGAGGTGCACAAGCTATAGGCGCAGAAGTGTATGAGATGCAGCGGCTAGGTTTACATGGAGATAGGTTTTGGGATTTTCATATTAGAATTTTTAATAATTTTTAAATAAAGGGTATTTAGGTAATTTTTCTTTGAGCTATGGGGTGCAGGGAGAAAATATGGGGGTGCAGGAAGAAACAGCCAGTCTACTAATGGGAGATCTGTTGCTAACAGAAAGCATAAAAACAAACAACTTTCATAGCTGTGAGGAAAAGGGTGGGGAATTCAAGGTTGAATTTCTGCTCAAAGCTATGCGTGTAACGGTTAGGAACCCAGTATTGAAAAGAGAGAGAAGAGTAATATTCTTTATTGTATAGATGGAAAAGAACACAAAAATAGTAAAACACTCTCTCCTTCAAGGGTTTCCCCTTCACAAAGAATTAAAGCTCAATCTACAAAATTATCCCCAAAAAGTGCCTAGCATACTAGGACCCCCCAACTATATAAAGGAAACCTCACTCACCCTAACAACCTAATTAACAGATTAACAGCTACTTCTTAATATGTTTCCTCCTATCATACACATTATATCTTATTAGTAGCTGTGATTGATCACCATTACATGTGTCTTCATATTATTCTCTTTATTTTCTTTCATCTATATATTTCTAGTTATTTTTAGTGTTAAAAAATTAGGGTTATCTGATGGGTTCTCTAAGAACCACTTTTTTTACAATGCTTTATGGTTCTTGCAGCTGGAATTGTACTCTTTCTTCTTGTGGAGAAGGTAGTGAGGTATGTTGAAGAAAACTCGGGAGAAGCTAATTCATGGTCACATGGACACCATCACCATAACCACAATAGCAAGAAAAAATTGAAAGACGATAACTTTTCTAATGATGCAAAGGAAGACAGATTGCTAGACGAGAGAAAAGATGATCCAGTGTCATCTGACGCTTTAAAGGGAGATAATCCTTCTGAATCTGAAACCTTGCTCAGAAAGGTAAGATGAGCAATGGAACATCACTTCGGCTGACTGAGGTTGGCATGCTCCATTGGTTTGGTTTGAAGCATTTTGATGTTTTACCCTTCAGATGTTTGACCAGTTGGGCTGGCAATGCAATTAAAAAAGGGAATATGATAATAAATATGCAAAACATGAACAGCTATAGTTTGTTTACTCTCGTATAATTCTGTATTACACATTTAGCTTGAATGGAATATTGGAGGGAATGGGGAAAATTTCATCTAATAGTTGACATACTTGTATCACAGAGAATCGGAAGCAAGGTGACCAAAAGTAGTGTTGATAGCTCCTCAGATGATATAAAATCTTCAAATGTTAAAGAACCAGTTAGATTACCAACAAACCTTGTGTTTGGTTATCTCAATCTTTTCTCAGATGGAGTGGTAAGCTATATTGTGATATTTTATTGGCTGTAAAATGAAGAAAAGCTTTCAAGTGTATTTATGCAAAATATGTTAATATTGCAGCATAATTTCACAGATGGAATGGCTTTAGGAAGTGCATTCTTGCTTTATGGATCTGTTGGTGGCTGGTCTAGAACCCTGTTTTTGCTGGCACATGAGCTTCCTCAAGAGGTTCAAAATCATCTTTGTTCTGTCACATGTTCACTATTATGCTATCTGCAGAATATTTTCATCTCATTTTTTAGGCATAACTTCAAATTGTAATGTGCAGTTTCCTGAAGGCCTGAAAGTTTTGTTTTTGTTTATGGAGTTTATTTTTCTTATGGCCTAATATTGGCTAGAAGTGATTAATTCTTTTTATTACTCGATTTTAATAAGAAAAATTTAGCTCTAATATGCTAAAACCTGCAAGATGTTGTCAAAATAGCCAAAACGCATGATTTACATGATGGCACTGAATTAAATTATATTGTTTTTATAATCTTCACTGTTTTGTATAACAAGAACAAGTTACTATAAAATTTCGTGAAAAATGTTATACAGATTCACCTGGAGATATACATGCACATATGTATGCATAAATATACATTGCCTGTTTATATTCAGATTTGAAATGTATGTCTAATTAAAAAAAAAAATTCTTACCTATAATCCTTGTCACTATTCATCTGCTTACTTTTATGAAATATATGTCTATGTCGTTTGACTTGCTGTGCATTGTTAATGCACATTCGATACCATTTAGTTCCATGTTATGATTCTGTTTCTTATATGATTTTCTTAAACTAGTGTTTACTTGAATCTTGTACATTTTTAAGCAATGGTGACTGTGCAATAATAGAGAAGATTAGGAGAAATCTCCCTTATGTGTTTAGCATATACATAGGGTAGTTTATTTATAATGTAAGATAAGGGTTAAACCCTAAATACA